TATTAAGATTGTTATACGATGTTTTTTTCCACTTAAATCCATCCTCATCCAAAAAATTAGGCTTCCATGAAATTGTGTGGTTTATTCTGTTGACCCGTTTTCTTCTCATGCCCTTACGGTGTAGCGAATAGCACCAACTTCAAGGTCGTATTCAGTTGACTGTTCTGCATGTTTCATATTACAAATACGCGTTTCTGATCATCGTAACAGCTCAAGATAAGTTGTTTATTGACTTCCATGTACAAAACAGATGTTGGATTGAAGAATCCTCTGTTTTTACAGAGATGCATTAACTTCCTGCCCTTTAAGTTATGCAGTATCTTTTCTGCATGTCACGCCCTAATTTAAATTTAAAATTCTTAACCCTTTGGTGGAAGGCTTTTTTAAAAATTCATCTAAATCATTGAATGGCTACAATGAAAGTCATTCGCTGTTCTGAAACAGTCAGGTTTTTTTTCGGTTCAGGATCAGTATAAAAATTTTGAAGTACCTGATTACGGATACGGAGTGTATAGCTTGATGCAGGAGCTGTTTTTTTGTTTTCATCGTAAAGTAGCGTGTAATAACTGATTTGATTTTTAAGTCGTCAAAGAACAGGAACCTGCTGCTGCGGTCACTTGCAAGGTGATAAGCATTAATGCTAAGTGAGAAATAGATATAATGTGGAAGATGTGTTGTAACGAAGTACCTATAGGTCAGAACTAACTTATGATTTTTTAATCATATGCTTTCCCAAACGTCATTTCTTCCATTCCTATTACAATGCGTGAATTTTCAGAAGGATAGAAAGCCAGGTGAGGCGTCGATAGATTTGGACCGCTTAAACTCAACATCCTTGAAAGAAAGGGGTAACAAGTCCTTTAAGAAAGGTGACTATGCAGAAGCCCTGGACTACTTTACGGCAGCGATTCAGAAATGTCCCTCAGATCGTCCCATGGAGCTTGCGACCTTCTACCAAAACCGAGCAGCCACTTATGAAAAACTGGTACTCTAATTATTTCATTGTTGAACTTCTGTAGCTAATGCTCGGTTTATAGGATGAACTAGAGAAAGTACTTGATGATTGCAATTCGGCGATTTCCTTGAACAAACGATATGTAAAAGCTTTACTACGTCGTGGCAAAGCAAATAAGGCACTTGGTCGACTAGAAGACGCCTTGTATGGTAAGTTGCTAGGCCTGGGCTTAAAGACAGATATGCGAGAAAGTTTTGTCTGTATAAAATTGCCGAAGTTTGCTATCCAATGTAGGTAAAGGCGTGGACATGCACATATTTGATAGCAAATAACAGGAAAACAACTTGAGGTACAAGCGAATCGAATTGTTTGAGGATTCTGGAAGATCAGGCCGATGACCGATTGCTTAGAAATTTGTCGAAAGTCTACGGTATAGCAAAGGACTAAACAAGAACGGGGCGTCGACAACCTCGATCAGGCATTAGAAAAATTGCGGCACTTTTCAGGCCCAGCGCGTCCCTGATGAGCAACAACAGTCCCTCAGCGATTCTCGGTCTTGTCATCGGTTTTATTTTAAAAAGGACTTACTTTCTTGAATTTCGCAAATTGTCATGATATACCCGCATTTTTAGTCAATACCTATCCTCTGTGGCGTATCTGGCAGATCTGCTTTGAAATCCAGCGTTTTCAGATTCGATTCCACTTGAGGACAATCCTTGCCTTATTCAAAAATTCCATTGAGTAACGAATTTATCACATTACTTCAGACCGGGATTGCTATGTCAGTAGAACGTCAAACTCGGAACCGAGAGGTCCTCCGTTCAAGCCTTGGTCCATGTGGGGTCAATTGCCTTTCTTCCTTCCGTGGTTGATAAATAAATATCATTCTTTGAGAATGAGACAAAAAACTGTGCGCTAAGTTTGCCATTTGTAGACTCTGCCTTTCAAATGAAGGCGCTTCTGACTGATGACATAAAAACCAGATCAGCAACGCACCAGCAACTTCAGGAAAAGAGGGAGGCCAAAACAGCTCAGTCAAGAAAATGCAGAAAGACCAATTTTCCAACGGCGAAAATTTTTCCTTTCATTGACTTTTCGAATTCGATATAAGATCCAGACCTTTTATTAATTATACACTGGATTATCGGTCAAAAAAAGCAGTATACCAAGCAGTAGTAATGACGACAGAAAACTGT